CATTTCATTTTTTGACAACTTCCAATTTTCCTAGATTCATACTTTGTACATTCCATGTTCTGATTATTAATGGATGTTTGCAGCTGTTTCTTCCCATTTTGAGTCATGCCACTTCAGCAAATGGAGGTCCTGAAAGCTTTACTCCATCCACGTCATTAAGGTTGACTCTGCTTTGAGGAGGTAGCTCTTCTCCAGTTGTGTTTTGAGTGCCTTCTGACCCAAGGGGCTCATCTTCTGGCCCTGTTATCAGACAGTGCTTCAGGACTATTCATAAAAATTTCTGGTAATATATCAGACAGTGTTTCACTACTATTCATAAGGTTTTCACTGGCTGATTCTTTGACAAGTGGATGGCCCCTTCCTTCTTCCAACTCTGTCTCTGTCTAGAAGCTCCACTGAAACCTGTCCACCATGGATGACCCTGCTAGTATTTGAAATACCAATGGCATAGCCTCCAGCCTCAAAACAACAGACAAGCCACCACGGTATGACAAACTGACAGATGAGTGGTAGAAGAGCTGGGTATTCTTGGGAAATAAAGGCTTTTTGAAGCCAAATTCTCTGCCTTCATTCAATGCCAGAAAAGGTATGGGGGATTCAAACCACAGTAGGATATAAGATTGAGACCTAGAAAAAGCCTAATCCTTGAGCTCTCCCCTCCAACGCCTCCTGCTGTACATACCTTCCATGGGAAGATAAATGGAAACTTCTTAGTCTAGAAAGATAGTTTTGTTTGCTTTAGGTTATAAAGAAAGAATGAAGGAGAGAAACAAGGAGAGAGGTCATGACTGAAGGGATCAGGTCCAGAAGAGGTTGTAGCAGCTAGGTCAAGGACACAGATGAAGGGGTTTGTCATGAACTGCAGGAGGCCCACTGGAGAAGAGCATGTAAGATGAGAATAGGTACAGATTCATTTCCAGGCAGGGACAGGAAGTTTGGAGAGACCTTAAAGCCTCATTTTTTCCCACTGGTCTGAGTGTAACGGTCATTTGCTGCAAGTGAAGGGCTTGAGGAAGGCGATGAAGGTTGGAACAGATGTTCCAGAGGCAGAGGGAGTTTGCCAAGGGAGCACTGTGGGCCAAGCTGAGGCTGGACACCGCAATATGTAGAGATGGCAAGTCACAGGGCTTTGGTTTTTTTCCTTCCTGGATAGTGCTCAGAACCCCAAGTTTTCTCAAAAGGTAAGGCACATTGTAGCACTGAACTGAAGTTGGGCTTTGCTGGGATGGGAAACAATAAGGAAGGGATGCAAAGGGAAGTAAAAGGTGAGGTGAGAGAGTGGTTTACATGAGAAATTGCCGGGGCAGGAATGGGAGAAAGGAGATGGGGAATGATGGATAATGAGAAAATGGAAGGACCTGGAGGTGTGTAGGAGGTTGAAGGGATATTTGATGGGAGAGCAGGTAGGAGAGCCATGGAGGAATGGGAGTTTGTGATCAGAGACTGGAAAAACAGGTTTAAGATTTCTGAGGTAAAGCTATTCCTGGTAATGCCTTCTATGTCAGCTAATCCCTGATTCTCAGTCCTCTATGGTAGCCAGTTTCAAGGGATTAAGGGCTAAGGAGAATTTTACACATAAAGAAGATCTACATCTGCTTAGATTTGAGGTCTTAGAAGATAATACTTGTCTAATTCATCCAGAGATTAAGAAGATAAACATAACAACCAAGAATGTCTGGGTAAGTCTATTACTTGTACCCTGGGATCCGTGTTTCCCCAGAGGTAGGCTATTTAGGTTGCGGGGTCCTGGATTCCAACAGGCTGGCATGGTATCCTTGGTGCCCTAGGTGAGAAGCTTACCTTGACTGTGTAGATCTGGAAATAGATGGGTTGGGTGCCCATGCGAACATAGTAGGTGATGACATCTAGGATGAAGGGGTCCACAGTCTGGGATGTATCCAGGCAGGGAGGCTGTGAGTAAGGCAGAGAATGTCTTCAGCCACCTCTCCATGTGGGAGGCACAGTTTTCTTAATAGAGAAACTCCAAAGCCCCCACATGTCCTCTGTGATGCATCAACAAAGTTGGTCCTTCAACACACTCTAATCCTTTCCTACCACCCAGCTTCTACTCCTCATCAGAATATGTCTGTCCAGAACCCCATCTTCCCAGGCACCCTGATTCAATTCTACAAACAAATATCAAGCACCTATATATATGTAAGACACTGTGATAGGTGCTTTGAAGAGATGACATGCTTGAAAGTATAACTAATGATGAAAGAGCCTGGACTGAGTTCTAGGTTTGGATTAGTCACTCACTAGCCAGGTGACCTTAGACAAATTCCTCCTCTATAAAGCCTGAGTTTTCTTCTAGAGAAAATGAGAGCTTGAACCAGATGATAGGAAGTCTCTTTCACTCTGGTAGTCTCTGAATCTATTAATAAATTAATTAATGTTCACATGTTATTGGGAAAGGACTAGTGCCATGTCCCGTAGGCCTTCCCCAACTCCATACGATTATAAAGCATAATAAAGCGTTACATAGAATCTTGTACGAGTTGTAAAAGTTGGAAAGAAGTTTCAAGTGTATCTCATCCAATTCCTATCCAATCCTATAATATCTCTTCTTACTCTCACATCTGGTCTATTGAAATATTGGCTCCCTTCAAAAAGCTCACACTGAGGAACAATAAATTTATTCTAATAATACTGTCATTGTGCAAAATATTTCAAATCTCTTCTTGTGGAAACTGCTTTTGGAGTGAGTATAAAGGTCATACAAATTGTTCATGATAAGGGGAAGGATGAGAAAGATTGTAGAACCAAAATCCTACATGTGTCCTGTCAGGGAAGAAAAAGCTTCAACAAAGGAACACAAATAAGGCCTGCATAAGACATTCCTCTTGTAATACCCTCTAAATTCTGAGGAAAAAAAAGTATTTTAATACTTAGTGTCTGTCATGCATATGCAAATACATTTTCAGATAAGCAGTAATACATAGTGTCACAATGAATCAGAAGTGACTTGATGGCACTTAACAACAACAAAACAGCAAAGTACTAACCAAATGTAACAGGGGAAAGAGACCATTCACAACACTAAGAGAAAAATACCAGATATATGAAGAAATGGACAAAATTACATGGTGAAAACTATACAGACACACTGAGGGATATACGAAAACTCACTACTCACTGCCATCGAGTCGATTTTGACTCATAGTGACCCCCATTGAGTTTCCGAGGTGGTAAATCTTTACAGAAGTAGATTGCCCCATCTTCCTTCCTTGGAAGGGTTTGAACTGCCAACCTTCTGTTTAGCAGTCAAATGCCTTAGGCACTACACCACCAGAGCTCCTTGAGGGATATACAAGATTTTAATAAATGAAGAGCTATACAGTGCTCCCAGAAGGGGAAAGTTAATTTGCCAAAAACTCTAATTCTCCCCCAGACTTCAATCAAAATTGCAATGGGAATAAACAAAAACCTCAATTTGTCAATGAGATTCTGGAGCTTATCTGGAAAGAAGGAAAAACAAGCAGTGCCTGGGAAGTCTTGAAAAAAAAGAGTAATGGGGTGGGCTAATCCTGTCATAAATTGAATTATGAATTTGTTAATTTGTACAGCAGTTAATAATAGGTCGGTGAGAATTCACCAAGTGATCAAAGTGGCATTTTAAATTGAGGGTCAAGATGGGTTATGCAATAAATAGCTTGGGACAACTGGCTAAACATTTGGAAAAGCTTAAAATTACACACTTCACACTACACAATGAAATTAACTGCAGGCAAGTTAAGTATTTAAATGTAAAAATGGAAACAATAAAACCATGAAACTATAATATCAGTGAATATGTATTTAATACTGGCATGGAGAAGGCCTCTGAAAGATGGAAATTATAAAGAGTAAAGAGTGCTGGTTGGGATTGACTCGATGGTACATAACAACAACAACAACATAACAGACCACATGAAAGTATTACACTTCTGTAAGTCAAAACAACATTACTGACAGAATTATCCACTTCCTACTTTGGTGAGTAGCCACTGGGATCTTAAAAGCTTGCAGGTAGTCATCTAGATGCAACAATGGGTCTCTCCTCATCCAGAGCAAAGAAGAATTAATAAAACCAAAGATTCATGGAAACAATTAGTCCTAGCAACTGGTACACCATTCAATCCACAGCCTATATGACTTTGAGACCAGAAGAACTAGATGGCGCCCAGCTACCACTGTCAACCACTTGGAGGAGGATCTATGTCCTGGTCTGATAGAGCCTGGTGGAACCACTGAGACTATAGTCCCTAGCTGCCCTTCAGGTCTGGAATTGAACCCACACCTGTGGCCTCTAGCCAAACAAAAGACAGGCATAGGAGTTGAACATTTACCTGAGGTAGATACACTCCTTGGAGACAACAACCATGGGAGAAAGAAGGGCTATTAATGCACAGGGAGACAGCTCAGGGGGCAGGAGTGCATGGAGGGATGGACACAGGGAAGAGGTGACTATCGGCGGGAAGTGGGAGGGGAGCTGTTGCATTGTGGTGAGTTGTGGTCAATGTCATGAGACAAAGTGTATGTGAACTGCTGTGTGGAAAGTGAATTTGCTCTGTAAATTTTCACCTAAATCACAATTAAAAAAAAAATTAATGACAGAATTGAAAAGCAAATGACCAAGTGGAATAATGTCTGCAACACATATGGCAGCAAAAAGGGTAAGATTCTCTTGATTTATAAAGGTCCTTTTCAAATAAGTTGAAGACAAGCTCATTCCCTACCCAGTAGCTAGGGGTGTGGGTTGGCAGTATGGTTTGTGGTTATAAGAATGTGTTCTGCTTATATGAAGTACTTATAGACAAGTGCTTATAGACAGAAGTTTCTTAGTGGTTGCCAAGGGCTGGAGGGAGGGGGAGATGGAGAGTTATTACTTAAGGGGCACTGAGTTTCTGGGGTGTTGTATTTTTAAAAAGTTGATGTCAAGTCAGTTCTGATTCATGGTGTCCCATGTGTGTCAGAGTAGAACTGTGCTCCGTAGGGTTTTTGGTTCGTTTTCTTTTTTTAATCTTGCAGAATGAACTTCTAATGTAAAAGTGTATACTGTAGCATACATGGTACCTGGGTTGTGGAAGTGGTTTGCGATAGGTCGCTAACTAAAAGGCTGGCAGTTTGAACTCACCCAGAAGTTTCATGGAAGAAAAGTCCTGGTGACTGGCCTTTGTGAAGATTGAGGCCAAGAAAACTCTATGGAGCAGTTCTACTCTGCAACACAAGGGGTGCTCATGGCAGGGGCCAACCGGACAGTAGCCAACAACAATAACCATAGCATGTGAAAAAGTATGTGTGGGGACATCTTACAAGATGCCAGTGGGGGTTGCTATGAGTTGCAATTGACTCTACGGCAGTGAGGTAGGCTCTTCAAATCACCTCATGAAAGTAGACACCTACTTTGTCTACTCAACCACACAGTAAGCCCTGTTACTGAACTGCTGGTTGTTGTTGTTGGGCACATCCTACCCTTGGTAACCCCAAATGTGTAGAGCAGAGCCACTCTTCGGGGCCTTCAAGGCTGTGACCCTTCAGAAGAATATCACCAAGACTTTCTTTTGAGGTACCTTTAGGTGGGTTTGAACTGCCAACCCTTTGGTCAGCAGCTGAGCTCTTAAAAAAAAAAAAAAAAAAAAAAATTATTGTCAGTTGGGTGAAAGTTTATAGAGAAAATTGATTTTCCATTCAACAATTCATACACTTTTTATTTTGTGACATTGATTGCAATCCCCACAATGTAATAGCTCTTTTCCCATTTCCTCCCCGTGGTTACCATTTTCCCTTGTCCTTTTTCCCTGTCCCTTCTTGCCTTCTGAGCTTTATCCCTGGGCACATGCTGCCCTTTTGATCTTGTATGGTTGATTGTTGTAATGAGTGCATACCTTCCTAGTGTAAATAGTTCGCCTTTTGTTGTTGTTGTCAGGTGCCATCGAGTCGTCTCCAACTCATAGCGACCCTGTGCCCAGCAGAACGAAACACTGCCTGTTCCTGTCCCAGCCTCATGATTCTTGCTATCCCTGAGCCCATCACTGCAGCCACTTTATCAATCCATCTCGTTAGGGCCTTCCCCTTCTTCATTGACCCTCTACTTTATCAAGCATGATATCCTTCTCCAGGGAATGTTTCTTCTGACAACATGACCAAAGTATGTGAGACGAAGTCTGGCCATTCTCGCTTCCAAGGAGGATTTCAGCTGCACTTCTTCTAGGACAGATTTGTTAGTCCTTTTAGCAGACCATGGTACTCTTAGCATTCTTTTCCACCACCACAACTCAAAAGCATCAACTCTTCTTCAGTCTTCCTTATTCATTGTCCAGCTCTTACGTGCATAAGAGGCAATTGAAAATACCATGGCTTGGGTTAGGCAGACCTCAGTCCTCAAGGAGACATCTTTGCTCCTTAGCACTTGAAAGAGGTCCTTTGCAGCAGATTTGCTCAATGTGATACATCATCTGATGTCTTGACTGCTGCTTCCATTGCTGTTGATTGTAGTCAAGTGATGTGAAATCCTTGACAACTTCAACTTTTTCTGCACCTACCATGAAGCTGTTTATTGGATGAGTTGTGAGGATTTTTGTTTTCTTTATATTGATGTGCAATCCATACTGCAGACTGTAGTCTTTAATCTTCATCAGTAAGTGCTTCAAGTCATTCTCACTTTCAACAAGGAAAGTTTTGTCATCTGCGTATTGCAGGTTGTTAATGAGTCTTCTTCCAATCCTGATGTCACATTCTTCTTCATATAATCCAGCTTCTCAGATTATTTGCTCAGCATACAAGTTGAGTAAGTGTGATAGTTGGAGCTGTGTGTCAATTTGGCTGGACCACAATTCTGTGTGGTTTAAGCTGTTGTGATGTGGTTATTCCCATGATGGGATCAGAAGATTATATTTTGAACAGCCAGTCTGTTGAAAGGGAGTTTCCCT